CCCCTTCCCTTCTCTTGCCCCGGTTGCTGCTCCCACCGCCGCTCATGGAGACGTCCCGCGCCGAGGGGGCGCCGCTCTCGCACCCCTTGGAGCCCGAAGCCGAGCCGCCGGCGGGCAAGGCGGGGGGCGAGAAGCGCTTCAAGCTGTGGTACGTGGGCTGGTCTTGCCTGGACCGGCGGACCACGCTGCCCATGCTGCCCTGGCTGCCCTTCTCTTGCCCCGGTTGCTGCTCCCACCGCCGCTCATGGAGACGTCCCGCGCCGAGGGGGCGCCGCTCTCGCACCCCTTGGAGCCCGAAGCCGAGCCGCCGGCGGGCAAGGCGGGGGGCGAGAAGCGCTTCAAGCTGTGGTACGTGGGCTGGTCTTGCCTGGACCGGCGGACCACGCTGCCCATGCTGCCCTGGCTGATGGCGGAGATCCGGCGGCGGAGCCAGAAGCAAGAGCCCAGCGCGGTGCCGGCCCGGGAAGTGGTGCTGCTCCTCGGCTCGCCCAACCTGCGCTGCGTCCCGTCGGGCGGCAGCGCGGCCAACCCGGCCGTCTTCATCTTCGAGCACAAGGCGCNCCCCTCCGCTCCGCGCCGAGCGCCCCGTGCCCGCGCGTCAGGTTGGCCCGCGGCGGACCCGAACGTCGGGCTGCCCGGACGGAGCACGCCTCCTGCTCCTACTCCTGCTCCCTTCCCTCCCCCGGAGGCGGTGAACGGAGGGGATCTGATCCCTCCCGGGAGAGCCTTTTTTCACCCGAAGCTTCCTTAGTTGGCCGTCACTATTTTTTTCCGCGCCGAGCGCCCCGTGCCCGCGCGTCAGGTTGGCCCGCGGCGGACCCGAACGTCGGGCTGCCCGGACGGAGCACGCCTCCTGCTCCTACTCCTGCTCCCTTCCCTCCCCCGGAGGCGGTGAACGGAGGGGATCTGATCCCTCCCGGGAGAGCCTTTTTTCACCCGAAGCTTCCTTAGTTGGCCGTCACTATTTTTTTCACGCTTCCCTCTATAACGGTTATTTACGTGCCGTTAAAATGGTGCGTGTGGGCGCCCGGATAAAGTGCCAAGACCGGGACAAAAATAAACATACGGGGCATATTTTACTCAGAAATGAGTTCGAGGGAGCTTGGTGAAGTCTGTTCCCAAGGAAGTGGGCAGGGATAGGATTGTAGCCTCAGAGTGAACAAAAATGTGCATCCCCATGTTTTTTAGGACAGCATATGCACTCCTGGTTCTAATACTGCAGTTTGTCAAAATTATTTCTGTGGGCCTCCTCAATATATTGCTTGCTGGTAGTGAAATAGTTGAGGAGCCAGAGTTGCCTGAGCTGCCCCTTCATGGGAGGCCCAAACAGTCTTCTTTCTTCCCCTCCTCAGATATTTGGGAGGCTGATGTGAGTGTTAGTTCCTTCTGTCCACGCATAATATTATCTCTTGGATTGAGAGAAGGGTTGGTGCATGTGTTTGGTACGCACACGCATGCACTGATGTATCCGTATAGTCATGCAAATTTTGTGGTGATAAATGCACTTCTCATCTGTTATGCAAGTAGAGTTCCATGATTTGTTGTTCCATTTATCATATTCTCTCTCTGTGTAAACTCTACTGTGGTTTGTGACTTGCTTATCCTTGTGGTGTAAAGCTCTGTAAATGCCATTTTCAACCTTTTTTTGGCCATGGCCATAAACACAATATGAAAGAGTTATAGGCCAAATCAAGATTGTATAAGTCACATAACTATTTTCTAAGGTGGTGTGTGAAGAATTTTTTCCAGTCTGTGGCCCCCATCAAATGTGCCAGTGTCCCCAGGGGACCATATGGCCCACGCTGAGAATGGCTGCTGTGTAGGATCTGTACCTACTAACAGGCAGAGCTAGTAGTTGTGCCAGGTATTGGTTTCTAACATGAGCCTTAATAGATCTTTAGCTGCTTTTAAAAACTGATTTTTAGCTTCTACCCTAAACACTTGTTTTCATAAGGAGGACGCTGAATGTGGATGTCCTTGAGTACACAAAAGATTTTCAGAAATGTCATTGACTAGTGGAGAGAGATGGTGTGTTAAAGGTACTGTATTGTTAAATTAGTATAGATTCACCAACAAGAGAATTATGGAGGGAGACGGGGCTAATGACATGCAAGAGGGTTTTATAATACAGGCTGTGTTTCCTAAAAGGGAAGGTTACCATCAAGAAAAAGCACCATTGACTTTTATGAGACTTATTTCTGAAAGGCAAGTATTGCACAGTAATGTCCATTGCTGAGGGCATTAAACTACAGTATTACTGTGCAGTTCTAATAGACAGCTAAACTTATGAACTTTCCGAGCCTCCAGATATGTAATTAAGGCCATCTTGAAGATTGAAGGGCAGTTTATTGGCTTAACACTTTTGTTTGCTAGTTGCTTCCCATGCCTTCCACTGAGGAACTCCCTGTGCATGCCTACATTGAACAGTAGGTAGGATTCTGGCTGATCACTTTGATATGTTCTGTGATTCACTGAAACATATGCAAAAGAGAAAGTAATCTTTTTTCTTAATATATTTATTTAATGAACCATAGAGAGTAGATACATTTGCAAGGATTTAGTTACATTAAAAAAAATAGCAGGGTGATAACCTTCATTCACACAAGAGTGATGCTGTGAATGACAGTGGAACTACTCTGAAGTAAGGAATGCAAAAACTGCCTTTAGCACTTCTGTTGAATTTCCTGTACAGAATCTGTCATGCAAGTCCCGTGACTCTGCATTAATGAAGGAACTTTTCTTAGTACTGTTTTCTGAATCAACAGACAGTGTTGCCTTCTTGACAGGAGCTGGACTCAGTGATCCATAGGGTCTCTTCCAGGTATGCAGTTCTAAGATTATTACTATTATAAAACAGGGTAATAAGAGGCTGGGGAAAAGAGAGAGAAGGAGGTTATATGTTGTTATGTCAGAGGTCCCCAACCCCTGGTCCGTGGCCTGGTGGCAGTCCGCGGCCTCTCCCCCACCTCCGCATGTGCACAGCCCACAGTCCCTTTGTGCCCGCGCCCACGCACCTGTGCCTGTGCGAGCGCAGGTCCCACCCCTTTGCACAGGTGCATGCATGCCCCCGAGTGCCGTGCCACTCCTTGCACATGCACACCAATGAGCACGCCTGCACAAGCGCCCTCCCGAACACATGCATGCCTGCGCGAGAGCTTCAACCGGTCTGCGGGGTTAAAAAGGTTGGGGACCACTATGTTATATGACCTCAAGTCACCTCTGACTTATGATGACCTTATAAATGAGTTATCTCCAAAATGTCCTGTCCTCAACAGCTCTGCTCTGCTCTTGTAAACTCAAAGCTGTGGCTTCTTTTTTTCAGTCAGTTCCTCTCATATATGGTTTTCTTCTTTTCCTACTGTCCTCAACCTTTCTCTGTATTATTCTTTTTTCCAGGGAATCTTGCCTTCGCCATTTGTGCTTCCAGAGAAAGTTCAGACTTGATTTGATCTGGGATCTACTTGCTTGTCTTTCTGGGAGTTCAGGATATACAGTGGGGTCTTGACTTGAGAACTTAATCTGTATTGGAAGGCGGTTCTCAAGTCAAAAAGTCTGTAAGTCAAGTCTCCATTGACCTACAGTGCATTGAAAACCGATTAATCCCGTAACAGGCCGTTTTTGTTCCATTTTGGTTTTTTTCTGGTCTGTAAGTCAAATTTCAGTCTGCAAGTCAAACCTAAATTTTGCGGCCAGAGAAGTCTGTAACTCAAAAAGTCTGTAAGTCAAGCTGTCTGTCAGTCAAGGGTCCACTGTACACAAAGCTCTTTTCCAGTAGAGTATTTCAGATGAATCATTTTTCTTCCCATCAGCTTTCTTCATTGTCCTGCGTTCATACCTGTACATGCCTACAGTGCATTGAAAACCGATTAATCCCGTAACAGGCCGTTTTTGTTTCATTTTGGTTTTTTTCTGGTCTGTAAGTCAAATTTCAGTCTGCAAGTCAAACCTAAATTTTGCGGCCAGAGAAGTCTGTAACTCAAAAAGTCTGTAAGTCAAGCTGTCTGTCAGTCAAGGGTCCACTGTACACAAAGCTCTTTTCCAGTAGAGTATTTCAGATGAATCATTTTTCTTCCCATCAGCTTTTTTCATTGTCCTGCATTCATACCTGTATATAGTAGTTGGGGATACAATAGCATGAATAATCTTGGATTTAATTTCTAGTGACATGTCCTTAGACTTGAATTCCTTTTCTAATTCCTTCATTGCTGCTTTACCAAGTCCCAGTTTTCTTATGACTTCTTGGATGTAGTCTCCATTTGGACTGACGATTAAAGCAAGGTATAAGAATTCTTTAACAATTTCAGCTTCTTCATTATCAACATTAAAGTTGTGTAGTTCTTCTATACTCGTGATTTTTGTTTTAATGTTCAACTGCAGTCCTGCTTTGGCACTTCCTTCTTTCCTTTACATTGAAGCTAATTTCAAGTCATTGTGGCTTTCTGCCGGTAAGATGGTGTAATGTGCATATCTTAAATTATTGATGCTTCCTTCACCAATTTTCATTCCTCCTTCATCTGAATCTAGACTGGCTTTCTATATGATATGTTCTACATATACAATGAACAAATAAGGGGATAAAAGGCACCCTTATCTGCACCTTTGCTTATAGGAAACAATTCTGTCTCTTTCTGTCCTTACAGTATCTTCTTGTCCATAATAAAGGGTACACATCAGTGCTGAGGCATAACCATTTCTTTCAGAACAAACCATAGTTTTTCGTGATCCACACAGTCAAAGGCTTTGCTGTAGTATATAAAGCATAGACTAATCTTCTGAAATTCTTTGGTACACTGCAGTAACCAGTGGGTATTTCCAATATGGCCCTGAGTGCTTTTTCCTTTTTTGGAATCCAGGTTAAATATCTGACATTTCTTGTTTAATAAAAGGTTAAAACCTTTGTTGCAACATCGTGAACACTTTGCTTTCACAAGAAATTAGAGTAGTTATTTGTATAGTCACTGTACTCCTTGGCATTCTCTTTCTTGGGAATTGGAATATACCATATATCAAATGTTTCCAGTCTGTGGGCCATTGTTTTGTTTCCCATATTCATTGGCATATTCTTGTTAGGATTTTGACAGATCCCATTTCTATATCTTGAAAGAGTTCTGTTGGTATCCCATCTACCCCTGGTGATTTCTTTCTTTCCCATACTTTCAGAGCAGCTTTCACTTCACTTTCTAGAACTGAAAGTTCTTTGTCATAGGATTCTTCTTCAAAGAAATCTGTCATCCTTTTACTTCTTTTACACATCTTCCGTGTTCTGTTTTCACCTTTCTCTTTATTTTCTCCTGGTCAGATAGTGGGCTTTCTTGTTGGTCTTTCAGGATGTCTAATGTAAGTTTAACTTTCCCTTTGATTTCCTGGATCTTCTGGAAGAGATCTAGCTTTTCCTCTTCTGTTGTTCTGTTTCTTTACCCTGGCTGTTTTAGAAGTTTTCTTTGTCTCTATGTGGCTGCCTGAAAAAATGCATTCAGGGTTCTGACTCTATTTTTGTTATCTTTTACTTTTGTTTCTCCCCTATCCTTAGCAATTTTATTTCTTCAATTATCCATCTAGGTTTTTCCTTTCTACTGTAGGAATTATCTTTTTGCATTCCTCCCTAATAGTTTCTCTGGTTTCAGTCTACAGTTCTTTTGATTCATGTTCAACTGAGTTTCGTAATGCAGATCTGTTATTGATGTGGACTTCAAATTCATCACCAATGTTGTTTAAATTGTATGTGTCAATCTTGGTTTGCTTTTAATTTAA